GTATATAGTCAATTTAACATATCCATAGAAATTACCATGAAGAAACGCAGCGAATCCACATGTTTTTGACGAAAATACCTTCGGCTGAATTTGGTATGAAAAGACTCGCATCAAAGTAAAGATTATATTATTATTAATTTCATTGTTAATGGTTTGTCAAATCAAATTATTCATTCTGATTATTTCATAGGGAAAACATATTTGGATAGGAGATTCACGCCCAAACATAAGTAATGCTTTACAAAAAATATCGGGTGAAGAGTTTTTAAAGTTGCAAAAGATGAAAATGCTAATCCTAAAAACTCAATTAAATATAATATTTTTAAACTTCTAGAATGTGTTATGGTTGTCCTCTATTTTCTTTGAAAGAACGAAAACCACCAATATTGGAACACGCAACTATTTATGTTGGAGGTTTGTAGAATGCGTATAATTTATGATTTATTTTATTAATTACAACTGTAACGGATTAAAATGAAATATTGTACAATGTAAAAAATAGATAATCCACCGAAAAATAAAAAATTTTTGGAGGTGCATTTTTTAGGGTTAAAATAGAAATCTTCATTTCCAGTTTCATTATGGTCCGCGACAATTACTGTATTTTAAATATCTTTTATTGTTCAGGGAGATATAATAAATTTTCGCGAGATATTAGTCAAACTCCATGGCATTAAATTGGTACCAACCGAGTGCATTGGAGAGAAACTACGCGAACTATTCAGATGTGACGGTAATTTCACTTTTTTTTTCCCCCTTCAATCGCGTCATTTTGCCATAAATTGATAAAGCCTCATTATATAAATATTAAGATTATAATTTGGTGCCGGCAGGTCGAGAGGATTCTAACGTGCGTATGTTAGGTAATGGGAGACTATTTTTCATAGAAATAATCAAACCTCGAAACCATTTTCCATCTCAAGAAGCTCTAAATGATGTACAAGAATAAATAAGGAAAATACGGATTTGGTGCGATGCCAGAGATTAACAATTACGATGAAAAATTTACTTGTGTTTATTAAATTTTTGTTTAAAAAAAAAAACGGGATTTATCTATTATAAAAGAAGGTGAAGAAACAAAGACAAAAACATATAGATTAGTCTTTTAATAGGTCATAATCATATATAATTTTAGATAAATTGCGCACTTGTAACGACTATTACCAATATATAAAGTTGGGTTGGTTTTACTTCTTTTTTGTTCAAAGTAAAAAGTGCACTTGAGATAATTGACGAGATAAATAAATTTCATGATGGATTCACTTTCAAACAGCAAACTCCAATTTGTTCGTTCAATATTCATTATTATCCATTAGGCGATCACCAGCAGTACGCACTAAAAAAATCCATTATATTTTTGCTAAACGTATCCTATTTTATTTTATCTCTTTTTTTCAGGAATACGATAATATTCACCCATTCTTTAACCTATCTTTTAATAATGCGTTTTTTTTTTGTTCAGATATATTAATGGGAAGAACTGTTCCAAGTTTGGGAGATATGATCGGATGTCATGCAGATATTTTAGCTTTTGTTGTTTTAGAAGTTGATTTAGAATGGCCAATTCAATGAGGTTATCAATATTTAATCCGATTTTTGTTAAGATATTGCAGTCAGACCTCCATAAATGCACGCTATGTAATTCTCCCTAATGCACGGCATAGCTTGGTAATAGCTATATATATAATATTTTATGGCATGTCTTTGGCATCCCATAGCACGAAATTTGACAAAAAACATGCCTTGTGATATGCCAATTTTTTTGACGTCCAGACATCTTACCTACAAGGTGATTGTGCCCATTAGCCAATAAGCAAGGGCTTAACAAAGAATCTGACTGATCAAACTAGCCCATCAGATTCTTTATCGAATTCACTGAGAGGGATGCTTGAGAGTGCCCTTAGTCGACTGAGGCTATTCTCAAACACCTTCCTGACAGGCCTACCAAAAAAATCAAGTGAAATTAATTCTTATTATACATCATAAATTAAAACTATAATAAAATCATTGCTATTAATTTGAGTGGTTAATGCGGTTAATCGAAGAACGACTTATTATTATTAAAAATTCATTGTGCGAAATACAGGTTTCATATGTTTTCAAATTAGTGCACAAATGATAATATGCATTTCATTTGTCGTGCAATGATGTATTAAGATAGAATTATTGTTTTTTTCTCATATTTCCTATACCAAACTTCCATAATGCACTAATTTGAAAAACGGCGATTAATCAGAGCAACTCTAAAATGACTCATTTGGTTAATTATTCGATTTCCGACTAATATCTATTAACATGTAGTGTAGTATAGTCGGTCAAAGGAGTATAGTATGCAATATACGAAATGTATATTATTTGTTGAAAACTTTCATTAAATATAAAATTTTAAAATATATTATACTGTACATTCCGTACGTATAATTTTGGTAAATGTATAAAGTAAAATTTTATACTTGTAATAAATAGCTTCAATTAATGAGTTCCTAACACTACAGAGAATCGGGAGTATTTAACCGGTGGTGATTTCTCCGAGGGTAAAACGTACTAAGTAAAATGTTCAGGACCCCTGAAAACCTCAAATCGGGACCTTATATCGAATCTAGATTGTATTATATAAAACTCCCCCTTTATCCCAAAATTGCACCCTAACCCTAAAAATTCTTATTTCACCACCGGTGAAATATAGATATTTTCTATTTAATTTTTATTCTAACATTATTTATTATTATTATTTCGAGCTTTAATAAAGACGACTTGGTTAATTTGAATGTTTAAAGCTGTTTTGAATCCTATTGATTTATAGAATTCGTTCAAAATTCGAGTACACTGTTAAAAAAGGTTAGGGATTTTCATTGTTTGTTTGAATAACAAAACAAATGATCTGATATAACAATAGATATGATACTAGGAAATTGGTTTTTAAAGAGAATCTTTGGAATATTATGTTTGGAGACAATTTATAAAAATGGGAATTTGGATAAAATTTTAGATGGGTATTACAGTAAATTGAAAAGCGCAGTACTAAAAAAAAGAACAACTATACATAAATAGAATCGAGCAAAAATATTTTGTGCTTGGATTCAAATTAGTATAAATGGCATAAATTGTGACAGAAATATAAATTGGCTAATTTTGTTGGAGAATTTGAGTTCAATTTAATAAGTACCAGTAAATTGACTCATAATAATCTTTAATGAACTTTACGGAAATCATAATATTCTTGTATAATAAGACGTCCATTAACAGATTTCTTTCAATAACGAGGCAAGATGGAACTCAGACGTTTAAAAAATTTACAGTATAGAGAGATGTGACGAATAAGAATTTCAATCTCTTTTTTTTTTTTTATAATATTTTTGTTACAGAAAAATTCTATCTCGACGTACAGCAGTTATACATTGTGTATGATTTAAAATATACATTATGTAATAAATGCCATAAAAAAAATATACATACCGTATAATTTAAACCGCAAAAGTTATACTTTCGGTATATTTTACTTCCATATTGTATACCAAAGTTTACGAATTTATATTATATATGTATAGTATAGAATCGCAAATATGTCAAGTATGCTATATTATACATAATGTATAGTGGT